TTGAACGATAACAGCCAAGGCAGAACCGTAAAAACCCATGTAATAATAAAGTAAAATACTACGTTTCAGTGTTGCCTTGATGTTTCCCGACCCATCCAAGCCTACATGACCCTACCGCTTCAACTCCTACTTCATCCTCTCTGCTTCTTCACCCTCATCCCAATCGTATCTCTGGAATAGGTTGAATTTAACACGGGAGTTCAAACCGATCAGAGTACACCCTCTGCTTTGAATTCGCGATCGGATCACACTCTCTGCCACGATCATACGCGCACACTCGCGCATTTGCGACGACAACGCCCCCGCCCCCCACCCCCTGCGCTGCGCACTGCTGGCACGACACTGCACGACACTGCACGACACTGCACGACACTGCACGACACTGCACGACACTGCACGACACTGCACGACACTAAACGACACTGCACTAGACTGTACTAGACTGCACTAGACTGTACTAGACTGTACTGTGCCGGTCCAAGAAAAGGGCACTTGAGAGACCATAGCGTTTGCGTTTAAGGGGGCTTTGGGGTGGGATCGAAGCCCAAACGGCGTCAGGCGGCCGGCGTGCGTGTGCTGGGCAAGAGGGAGCTGGTCGCCATGTGGGACCTGCGGGAGGCGCCGCGCGGGGAGCAGCGGAAACAAGCTGATCGGCTGAAGAAGCGGGGCGAGGTTGGAGACTTTTTCGTGCGTGCTTCCGAAACCCGCCCCGGCTGCCTGGGCCTCATTGTCAAGATTGCCAAGAAGAAGACCCAGGCATATCTCATCGAGCAGACTTCCGACTGGGAGCATTTTCAGCTCCAGGGCAACCGCCGCCTTTTTGCGTCGCTGAGTGCCCTGCTTCGGTACTTTGCCACCACCCCAGACACGCCGCTCCCGGTGATGCTTTCCCTGGATCTGCTCCAGCTCGGTTCAGTGGAACATACCCCCGAACCCTCACTGGCTCCCGACGGCCCAGCTGACCCGCGTCTGCGCCAACCTCAGCATGCCAACCCCGACGCTGCGCTTTGGCCCACCCATCATGGTGCCTACCCTCCACCGTCCTTCCATATGTATGGCTATGGTGGCCCCGCTAGCGGCTCCATGGCCTACCCCAATCCGGCCTTTCCCACTTTTCTCAACACCAGCTTGGGCGCCAACGTGCCGCCGCCGACCCCAGCCCTCGATCTCTCCTCCCTCGAAAACGACAGCTCCCCTGCCGCTCAGGAAGCATTGCAGGTGAAGCCCCGATACAACGCCCAAATTTCGTCTTCTTCCCCATCCATTTCTTGCAGATGACGCCCTCTCCCTTTTGCCTACACACCCTAGGCCCACCACATGCTGATGGAAAAGCAAGCCCTTGCTGCCAAAGCTCGCGTTGAGGCCTTGGAGGCCGCCATTGCCGTAAGGGCGTCAGGATGCCGCATCTATTCGTCTTTCGCATCGCGGTTCCTCAGGCTCACGCCGTGTCACTCGCCCTTGCGCCCATCCTGATAGGATGCACGGGCTGGTGGCGATGTAGGGGAACTGATGCGCTCAATGCAAGCACTTGGCGTTGGCATCCCCGCAGGCGACTCGATATCTGCCATCATTGCCGTAAGTGATTCGAGCAGCGGTGCGGACTGATCAACCTCCCCTCTCATCATCATCATTATTGGTCCATGCACTTGCATTGTTGACAACCCGCAGCCACTGGACAACTCTGTGTCTAGCCGCACCTCGCCCGCCCCTGAAGCCGGTAAGCGGCCTGCGATATCTGCGCTGGCCCACCATTTCCCCTCCCTTGGGTATGTGACGTATCCATGCACACCATTCATGGGCCTCGTCTCCTCCCGCGAGCGCAGAACGACCTCAAGCCACTAAATTCGATGCCAAGCGGAACAAAAGTAAAGCCAAGCAGGCCTTGCGTGACCACCCCGAGCTGCAGGCAGAGATCCAACAATTGCTGCGCAAGCGCTTGGATCTTGAACGTCAGGCTGCCGACATGGCTGATCGAAACCTGCGGCATGAACAAGAAATTCACAAGCGTCGTCAGTCGCGCAAGCACAAGCCGAGCAAGCAGGCAGCGTCAGCCTTGCAACAGGAGCGGGACGAGCTCAAGGCCGAGCGCGAGCGCTTTGAGCGTGAGCTTCTGGAGCACCGCATTGCTTTTCAGCAAGAGCAGATGGAACACCAACAGCGTATGCATGATCAAGAACGCCAGCTTCGCGAGGAGGAGCGACAACGTCTTACCGAGCTCCTGGAGCACGAAAAGCAACTCCGGGCCGGCCGCAAGCAAATTCTCGGTATCGCCGAAGACACAGATAACGCTGACGTGGCTGAGGTTGAACGCCTCGAGCATCTCAAGGCGGAGGCTGCTCGCCGCAATGCAGAATTGGAGCAAGCACGCCAAGACCAGCAAGGTGAGCGCCAGCGCCAACGCCAAGAGGTTGAACGCCTGGAAGCTGAGAAGCAGGCCACCCTCGATCGTCTGCAGCGTCTCATGCAGGAACAGCGCGATCGTGAGGAGTCTGAGCGTCAACGCCAGCGTGCGTTGGAGGAGCGGATGGTGGCCTTGGAAGAGAATGCACGCCGTGACCGACAACGCATGGCCGAGGAAAAGGAAGCGCTCGAGCGTCGCCTCGCCGAAGCCGAGTCAGCCAAGCGAGCCGAGGCAGAGCGTCTGGCTCAGGAGGAAGAGGTACGCCGCTTGAAGCTGCAGCAGGAAAAGCAGCAACTTGAGCAGCAGCTACAGGAGAGCCAGCGTCGGGAACGCGAAGTTGCTGAGCGCCGAGCCCAGGAAGAAGCAGCACGCCTGGCTGCCGTGGCTCGCGAAAAGGAGAAGCTTGAGCGTGAGCTTGAAGCGGCTCGCCGGCGTGAGGCCGAGGAGGCCGAACGCTGGGCGCGCGAGGAAGAGCGCCGACTCGACGATCTGGCCAAGAGTCTTCAACAACAACTAGATGCAGCACGTATGCGGACTCGGCCAGGCACGAGCGGGATTGCCTTGACGACCTCTGCATCTGCCCGTAGTGGAGCCCACGTAGCTGTCGCACCCAGCACCCCGCTGGCCACTACAGCGGCTGCGGCGCGGCGCAGTGCTGCTAACGGTGCTCGGGCGGATCCTAGTTTGTCGGCTGCCCCGCCATCCGTCTTTGAGCAATCGAGACGAGAGGCTCAACAGCGCCAGCAGCAAAACTTGTCGGCCGAGTATGACAGCAACGACTCGTGCACCTACCTGGGCAATTGCACGTGCCCCAAATGCCGCTGAAAGGATCCATCCTTCCAAAGTGTGCTTCAGGGGCGCTCCTCACCAACATAACTGAGCGCCAAGCGCTAGCAGAGGACTGCGACCAGGTTTATTCTCTTGTTTGGGATGTAGAAGGCTGGAAATTGCAAAGCCCCTTTTGATTTTGGTCAGAAGATCTGTGTCTTTGCAAACGTTGTCATCCGATTACGGCATTTAATTGACCGCGCGCCACGTGTGTGAGTGTGTGCGCGCGAGGAGCGTGAGCAAGTGAGTGAGTGGTCAAAAGAGAAGAGAGCAGAAGGTAAGAACCACCTTCCGTGGCTTTGTGTCGTGGACATGGGGCAAGAGGACAACAGACTTGAATAACGAAGAACAGACGTGCTCACGAAGCAACCAAGAGGGGCTGACGTGTGAAACCAACAGACACAAAACTAAAAATCCTGGAACTTGCATAAAAAGTTATAAAAAACGGTCACACGATCGAACAAAGCAATTGCAGCAGCCGAGAGCCAATCCGGGTGCCCATGGTATTCTAGACTCGGTAGGCAATAGCAGCGGCGCTCAGCAGGGTCAACTCATCAGCAGCTGCCTCCTTGGCTGCTTCGTTGGCCTTCTTGTCGCTGACAATCTATTGGGCAAGTCAAGGAACAAAAGAGGGAAAAAAAAATAAAAGAAAGAGAAGTCGAAGCAGTTCATGTGCCAAGGCTAACAGCGCCTTGACTGGCATCAAGCCAGAGCGACAATGTGACTCTGCCATGCATGACAGCACGTACCGTGCGGGGCCCGGCAGTAGCTACGCGGCCACCACTCTTGGCAGGGCTGAGACACATCATCATTAGCTTGGCTTGTCGCTCCTTCGCAGCCGATCTATGTTTCATGCGTGCGAACGATCGTATGAGTTGGTGGCATGGTGGCAAGGTACGAACACGAGCAATCAGACGATGGACGGGTAAATCTACGGGCAAATCTGAGCCACGGGCAATGCTTACGTCGATGGCGTCAGACCCAAAGCCTGTACGACAACTTGGGCACGGCCTTCCATTTTCTGGCGCATGAGCTCCTCACGCATGGCAAGCTGGGAGGATTGAGCGTGGTTGATGCGCTCGGTGAGGTCGCGGATCTCTTCCTCCTTGGCTTGCATGCGTTGCTTGATGGCTTTGGCATTGCGCTCAGCCTCGGACTTGGACTGTTTGCAACGGCGGATCATGGCCTCGAGCTGTTCCCGTTCAGCTTGAAGCAAGGCGGCCTGGCTTTCCTTTTGTTGTCGCTTACTGTTGGGTGAGGCGCGGTCTGGCTCGTCGGTGGTGCCACCGGCAAAAAATCCGTAGCCATCATCTCCTTCGGGGACCGTGCCCTTGGGGGACGCTCCTTGCACGGCAGTGGGGGCGTCGGCAGTGCCGTAAATGTCTTCCATTTGTTCGGGGTTATTGGCGGGAATGTCGTTGCCATAAATCTCTTCCATTTGTTCGGGATTGTTGGCTGGGTTATCGTTGCCGTAGATTTCTTCCATTTGTTCAGGGTTGGCAGCGGGGTCGTCGTTGCCATAGGTGGGTTGGCTCGTGGCGGTGGGGGCGGGGGTTGTGGCAGCCGCGGCGGAGCCTTCATCACCATAAATCAAGTTGTTGGGTTGGGTAACGGGGGTGCGGACGGCTCCCTCGGGAACGCGGGTGGGGTCGTCAGCCGACTCGTAGGTGCTAATCATCTGTGCCACCACGGTGCCGGTCATGACGGAGTATTCGGCCGGCTCAGCGCCGGCGGCAGCAGAGCTTTGGACGGGAGCACCGTAGACGAGATCATCCGAGGCAGGCATGCCGGCATTTGCTGGTGGCATTCCTGAGGCCGTCGCGCCAGTCGCACTGCCTTGTACGGGGGCGCCATAGACCAGGTTATCGTCAGGGTTCCCAGCAGCCGTGGTGACCGGGGCGCCGTAGGGTGAGGATGCCTGGGTGGCGGAACTGGGCACGGGGGCGCCATAGCTGCTTTCAGCAGAGGCAGCCGGGGCTACGGGAGCGGATGACGCGGTAGCGGCGGCGGCGTTGACGGGGGCTCCATAAACGCCGTCATCGTCAACGGCGTTGTCGTCAAGGTCGTCATCATCAGCTGCAGCGGGCGCAGGGCTAGGGGAAATGCCCTTGACGCTCATGGCGTCTGCGCTTCCTGTGGTGGTGGTGGTGGTGGTGGCGGAGGGGGGGAAGGCAATCATGAGGGATCAGTCGTACAAAACACGCGCGACATGTGCCCGCAGGTGGGCGGTGATGGTACCTTGTGGCGTAGCCTGGAGTAGGAAAGGGGCGTTGATGGCACGTTCGTCAACGTCCAAGTTGGCCTGAACGTATTGGGCATAGAGGATGGCGCCGGCGTGGGCGAGTTCGTATTGCTGGGGGTGTTGGACGAGGGCGACGCGGTCGCGGCGAATTTCTTCAATGACAAGGTTCAGGTCGGCGTGCTTGTTTGTTTCGAGGAGGCGGCAAATATAGTCGAGGGCGATGATGGTGCCCGAGCGACCGACACCGGCGGAGCAATGGGTGAGGACGGGGCCGCCTTGGTTGAGTTCTTTTTCGGAACGCTTGCTGTCGCGGATCATGTAGAGGAGGTTGCTTGCATCTGGTTTGCCGTCGGGGGTTCGGGGCACACCGTGATCGGGCCAGGTGTTGTACCAAAAATGCATGACTTTTCGAGACTCGCCACTGGTGTGTTCAATCTCCAAGAGGGTGCGCACATAGCCGTCGCCCTGGCTGGTGGCGAGGGTGCGCACAAACATATCAGCAACCTTGACCTTTTGGCCGGGTTTGGGGGCCCAGTAGCGCTCGCACTTTTTGGTGCCCTTCTCGACGAGCCCAGTGGCCATGAGGATGCAGGTGACTTTTTCTTGCCAAATCATGCGCCACCAATTTTTGAGAGTAGCTGGGAGGGGGCCCATGGCGCAAATGTATTCGCGGTCGCTGCCCGAGGGGCCATGGACGTAGTTGGCGTTGATGTAGGCGGAGGCGGGGTCATTGCCGATGGTAGGCAACTGGACGCGGGTTTCGGGGTGGGGTAGGACGTCCATGTGTCGGTTGAAGCGTTTGTTGCGGACGGCTTCGGGCACAGCGCTATGGGGCTGAACGTTTTGGCTGATGCGTTTGAAGCGAGCCGTGTCAAGCGGGGCGATGTGAAAGGTGCCTCGCTCTTGCATCTCAGCAGGTTCGAGGAAATCGCTGCCCTTGACGGCAGGCACGTGAATCTTTTGCGAGCCGCGGGAAGTCAGCGACGCCAGCGAGTTGCTGCTACCGGATCGGCGCAGCTTGGGCATGGTGGCGGTGGCGATGGAGCCAAGTTGGAACCTCGCCAACGAGCGTGCGTCAATCAAAACGCCAAAGAATCACAATGGTTTTGGCTCGTGTTTTTATGCTTGCGCGTGCGTCTTGAGGGTGTGAGTAATTGTGTGCGTCGTCCAAATGCAGCAAGACGGCGCCGCCAAAAGCAGCAGCAGCAGCAGCAGTGCAGGTGTACTGGGTTTGGTGATTCAAGCGGCGATCACACCACCTCCCCACCACTGCGAGGCGGGGCAGGGTCCAACCCCCGCCACACCACCACCACCACTTGGCCTCCTCTGCGCGCCGGTGCCGTTGTCGGGGGTCCCTGCGAGTATCTGAGTGTGAGTGTGAGTGAGCGAGCGTGCGCGGCCGTCTCACACACACACACACACGCGCGCACACAGACAGACAGACAGACAGACAGACAGACAGACAGACAGACAGACAGACAGACAGACAGACAGACAGACGGACCGACAGTCCGTCCGAGGTGAATGCTATTGAGGACGCGCGCTGCTTGGCTGTGAACAGTGAACGGAAGAGATACCGCGGCAGTCTGATGCAAAGTTAGAGATGGAGAGAGAGGGGATGGAGATACGTGGGGTTGGTAGCGTTAAGAAGAAGCGCAATCAGAGAGTGTGAGCAGTGTGAGAAAGCGGTGAGAGACGTAGAGATGTCGAGACTTTTATAAAGAGAGACGGACAGAGGAAGCGAGAGAGAGAGAGAGCCAAGAGGGGGCGGAAACAATAACAGCACCAACAACAACAGTAACAACAGTAAAAGAGAACAACAAATCACTTGTGTGTGTGTGTGTGTGTGTGTGTGTGTCTCTCTCTCTCTCGTCTCTCTCTTTTGGGGTCAATTCATACGGCCAAACAGGAATAAAACCCCATTTGTTAAGTGTAATAGAAAGTACACTATCGCTTAGCCCCCTTTTTTCTCTCTCTCTCTCTCTCTCTCTCTCTCTCTCTCTCTCTCTCTCTCTCTCTCTCTCTCTCTCTCTCTCTCTCTCTCTCTCTCTCTCTCTCTCTCATTCTCTCTCTCTGCGTGTGTGACTTCGCTCGCTCGCTCACTCCGTCCTCTGTCGTCCTCTGGGCGGAGAGCACCGGTGTCATGGCGAAGAAGCAGAACCCCTATGCCAACTTCATGTCCAAGAAGGACTTTCATCCGGGCAACTTTTTCAACCTCAAGCGTGTGTGGGAGGCTCAGGAGAACAAAAAGGCCGACAGAAGCAGCTGGCCGACGAGTACGAGCGTGAGCGCCAGCTCTTTGATGTCAAGTGCGTTGCGTGCCTGTCTCACACCCACACGCCTGCACTCGGCCACACGAGTGACCCCACATGCTCATTCCTGCCTTGCCCATCCCATCCTTGCAACCTGCCCTCACTTCCATGCGCCTCTTGGCGTTTGGGCAACTGGGCTGCTGCGTGCAGCTTTGATGCGGCGAGCGAGGAACAAGTGGCAGCTCGCCGCTCGCGCCATCAAATTGACTTCATGTACCAAGAACCCCCCGGCTACAAAGACCGTGCGTCATCACCGTGTTGTTTTGTCCGCGGCCAGACAGAGGCGATGCCTTGCATACAAGCTTCTTTGAGACTTACACATGAATGATGGCCGCATGCAGCCAACAAACTCGAGCTCGATGAGCGCAAGAAGAAACAAGTGGACATTAGCAAACTCTCCTACGAGGAGCAACGCCAATTGCCCCTCTCTGAACGCCTCACCGCCCTCAAAGACGCGCCCCGTGAAGAGTACGCTCTTCCCCCTTTCTGCCTCCTTTCTGCTGCGCGCTGCCGACCCTCACCCCCCCCCCCCCCCGCTGCCCCAGCTTTGCCAAACAGCTGCCGGCACGGGACAAGCCCTTTGGTCAGATGGTGCGCAACGTGCGCTGTCTAAAGTGCGGTCAGTGGGGACACCAAAACGTCGACAACGTCTGCCCACTGTTCAACAAGGCCGCCCCCGGCCTCGAGGCTGAGCAAGGTACGTGTCCGGCGCCTCTGGCCCCCAACGTCCCCGTCAGGGTCTCGGACCCAAGTCAGGGTCTTGGACCTGTACCTGACTAACGAAGCGCGCGCACAATGCCGTAGCTCGCGGAGAGTTTGAGGACCCTGCCGTCTTGATGCAGCAGATGCGAGCGGGAGGTCTGACACTGACGCAACGCGTCCTTGGACCCGTCGGTGACCCCAACGATCCTTTGCAGGTCCGGCATTTTGGTCCTTCGGGTGTGCAAGGGGTGCCCAAGACTCGATCGCTTACATGTGCAACATCCACCATCCGTCTCTCGCAGCAACTGGTCGAGCCGGATGATCCAGAAATGGAGCTGTTGGCTTCGCTGAGCAAGCGCGAAAAGAAGCGTTTGCTGAGGTGAGGCGTTGTTGCACACTGGTCACGAGGGTCCAGCACCGATTGACCTTGGATTGGGGCTTGGTGTGCACGATAGACGCTTGGAAAAGGCTGAGAAGCGCGCGCAGCGCTCCGCCAAAGAGGGCGCCGCTTCTGCTCAACACGAATCCGCCTCCTCCTCCCACGCACACCGAGACGTGATTCATCATGGTGACAACGATCGCCGCCACGATCGCCACGAAGCACACCGTGGTGCTGAATCGCACAGGCATAATGAGGAGCGACACGGGCACCGCGACGGCCGACACAGACACGACGACGAGCGACGCAGACACGGCGATGATCAGCATAGACACAGCGAGGATCGGCACAGAGACGATGAGGAGCGGCGGAGACACGTGCGGCACCAAAGGCAAGATTGGGGTGCAGAGCTGGCCAAGGGACATGAGAGGCAACGAGAGAGCCATGATCGCACGCGCAGGCGCCGCAGCCCAGAGCATGGCGGGAGGCGACGCGACCATGACCGATATCAGCGCGATCATGAACGGTACAACCACGACCGGCACGACCGGCACGACCGGCACGACCGGCACGACCGGCACGACCGCACCCGACATGACCGTGGCCGGCAGGGTGACCCGCCCGCTGCAAGGCAGAGAACCGAATCTGATTGGGAATGAGCTTTCCCTATTATCAAACTCTTTACTCCTCTCTAATCGACTGACCGAGACCTACCAAAGGGTTTGCACATGTATTGACAAATGCACAATCAGACCTTCGAAATGCGTGATCAATTGCGCTAGCAGATCAAGGGCCAGGCATAGCCCAGGAGAAAACATGAAGAGAGCATGCATTCACAATGACTTTTGCCTCGGCAATGTCCATTCCCTTGATACACACGGGCAATCAAGTCAATTTTGGGTTATTCACAGAAAAGACGTCCACTCGGACGAAGGCCCGAAACACAGGCCATGGATATAAAAAAAAGAATGCGACGAAAAAGAAACAAAAGGGTGTCTGGACAAGCAGAGAGAAACAGGAAGATCGCAACAGCAGGTCCTTAGGCTTGAGAGGCCACCAGATTTGGGGTGTGAACGAGCGAGCTACAGATGGACTCGAGACCAAGGCGAACATGAGAAACATGCTCCACATCCCCCTCGTCAATGGCATGAATGGCGTTGGCCAGGCGCTCGAGGACGGCAAGTACGAAGCGGCGCTTCACATCCTTGTCCTTGTCATCCAAGGACACGCCGTCCACCTCAAAACAAGGGAAGGTCGAGGCCGCTGAGGCCGCCTTGGGAGCATGCGTCGCCTTGGGCGTCTTGCTCGATGACGAAGCTGGGGCAGCCGAGGTCGAGGAGGGCTTGGAGTTGGTCATCGTCGAGTCGTTCGTTGCAGATGCTGCTGCTAGTCGACGAGAGCGGCGAGGCGGCGGGGATGAGGGTGGTTCCAGACCATCCATCTGTGTTGCAAGGTTTGAGGGCGAGGTCCGGGCTGAGGGAGGCCGTTTGGCTGACGTCATCGTCGAAGCCGAGGTCGTCATCGTCGTCGAGGTCCAGCTCGAGGTCAGAGACGAAGTTGTCAAACTCGCAGTCGAGGATGGTGTCGACAATGACGTTGTTGCTGCCTGCTGCGCCGTCGAGAGGGGGGCGGGGAGGGCTCGCCGCCGAGGCCGGGCCGTCGCTTGCGAGTGGGGATGGGAGTCGCTTGACGCGCTTGCTGAGCGGTAACGAGGCAGGGCCATGAGGGAGTTCATGAGGGAGTTGGGCAGGGAAGCCATGGCAAGGCGCGCGGGGCTGCTGACGAGCAAGCCGACCAGGACCAGCAGGACCGAAACCAATTGCTGCAACTCCTTCTGCAGAGTAAGCACGGCGGGCTTGTGAGCCGCAACAATGGTACGATCCGCCGAGGCCAGGTCAGGCTCGCTGCTGCCAGTGCCGGCAACGGGCGCCTGAGGGGCCGGTGCGAGGGCGGGCAAGGCCCGCCACGCAGGGGCGGAGATGGGGCCAGCCTCGGCCGGGGAGACGGGGGTCGGGCTGGTTGTTTGAGATGGCGTGGCCGAAGAGGTCGGGGCGGCCACGTTGGCCCGAAAGTTGCTCGGGCTGACACCACCGGAAGTGGAAACGGAGGTGGGGCTGGATTGGTTGCTATTGTTGTTGTTGGCCTTTGTCACTTGATTGAAGGTGTGCATAAAAGCACCGAGGCGAGCACGCATCGTGGCATGGTGATGCTCAAGCTGTTGGGCGCGGGCGGCGAGTTTGGCGTTTTCGGCTTCGGCCAGCTCGACAACATGGGAGACGTCCTCTTCAAATTGGCGTTTACGGTCGCGAAGGTCCTTGGCGGCCGTGCGGTTGTTGTCGCGACGCCATTCAGCCAGCTGAGCTTTGCTCAGACCAGCCGAGGGTTTGGTGCGCTTGCGGCGCTCCTGCTTCAGGGGCGGCGCGGGGGCCTCGACGTCTAGGCCCAGCTCGCGCACCAGCTCGGCTGTGTCGGCCTGCAAGGCCACCAGCCGTTCATCTGAAGCAGGCATGCTTGAAGAAGGGTGGGGGGAGGTATAAGATAGAGAGAGAGAGAGAG